TTTTTAAAACTAAGAGGTTTTGAGTTTCTTTGAGAATTTTTGATGAGTTGAAGGTTTGGGTAATAAAATAAAATTTCCCTTTTTTGATGAAAAATAAATAAACTTTTTAAACCATAATTTTTTAGTATAGTAATCTGGAGGAATTACAGTGACGACCTTGATTGGCCATCTTTGATGATTAGTAATCCGAAAGGATTACAATGATAACATGTGATTGACAACATATTGGTTCAAAAGTTGAACCTTCTAAGGATGGTTTTATGATGTTGATGATGTTGCATGCTTACATTATACATGACTATGCATCCATTTATTTCGGAGTTAGGAAGAACTTCGGTCCAATGATGGCCTGGTTCAGAGAGGGTCTATATCGGTCTCACGTCCAGAGAGTGACACGGTTCAAGAGGAACTGAAGACATGAGTAAATTGGTAACGTACCTTTGATCCCCAAAACCTAGTACCATATACATTTTTAATGACAAGTTAGCGGCATTAGCATTTGCATCATTATTTGACTTTGATTGTATTTTCGTGTGAATGATGTACTTATGAATTCATTAATTACCATCCTGTTGCTAAAACTCACCGTTAAAATTTGTAAGATGTATTCTCACCCTTGATGTACAGATACTCAATAGAACTAGCCACTTGTGAGTGAAAGACAATCTTGGAGCTTTTTTCATTTATTTTTTATTTATCATTTTTAGTTGGTTTTTATCTACTCTAGTATGTATCACTGGGAACGAACACATTATTCGTTTGAAGTTTTCTGTTAAATTTTTATTTTCGTTATTGGTTGGTTAATCCATTATTTGATGTTATGAGATTTATTTGAATTTTTCATTGCGAGTTTGAAAATATTTTACAAAGTGCATGATTTGTGTGAAGTAGCATCCTAAACAGTGCAATTTTCTATTATATTATGAATCGGGGTTTAGGGTGTTACATGACTCACCTCCAACTAAGGGATTTATCCCATTTAAAAATGTCTCCTTCAACTGAGGGACTCGCCCAAGCTGAATGACTCGCCTCTCATTTAAAAAGGTCGCCTTTAACTAAGGGATACACTCCAAGTTAAAGAACTCATATCTCATTTAAAAAGGTCGGCTTCAGATGAGGGACTCGCCGTAAGTTGGAGGACTCACACTCCCTTTGAATGGGTCACGTTCCAAGATAAGGGATGTGCCTCATATAAAAAGGCTCACCTCATACCATGGGACACAATCTGAAGTCGGCCTTAAAACACTTCACCATTTTTACAAGCCCTCGTGCTTAAGGGACAATGTCATATTATATTTATGAGAATCTTCAAACAGAGACGATGCCAGAGTCCTCGTCTGGTAAGTCATCATCTGAGTGCAGCCTTTACGGAGCATGAGGTCCCGCCTTTTAGAGACATAATGTAACACCCCGCTCCCCAAAATTAAAATAAAATAAAATAAATAGCAATTAAATCAAGCAATTATCAGAGTTACCACACCAAAGCGGGATATCACAGAAGAAACTCAACAACAAACTTCATTAAATGGTTTTCAACAGTAAATAGCGGAAATAATCATATATACATATATACATCATATTCGGCCATCCGCCCAAAATATACAGAATATTCACCAAAGGTTCCAACAAAACATGATACACCACGGAGTAAAACAAAATCATCAGAAAACAATAAACTCCCAAAGCCCTGTGTTACGTATCAGAGCATCCCTACGACTCGACTCGCCACTATCCAAACTAGCTACGCACCTGGATTATCTGTACTTCCAAAGAAGCACAGACCACAACAACAACAAAAGGGGTGAGAAATCATGATCAAAATATTTAGCGGTATTAATGTACATGAATAAAAGGCAGTAATCATATGAATATCATTTAACATACATCAACCAGGACCTACTGTCCAACACCAACACATCACACAAGACAATGCAAAAATATGCAACTCAACACCATGATATGCGGTACCGACTCAACATCACCGATGGACACCTGACCATCAACCCTCCACAAGGGAGCACAAGATAGATCACATACACCCACCAATGGCAATGATCTATCCCCACCATTCTCCACACAGGAGTACAGATGGATCGCATACACTCCTCCTGAGCAACGATCCATCCCACAATTCTCCACACAGGAGTACGGGTGAATCGCACACACTCCTCCTGAGCAACGATTCAACCCCATCAAAACATCATGATATGTACGACACCAATGCACAACAACAATCCAAGCACACAAGGTGCACACGATCCTCCTGATCACATTTTATACATCGCACATACTTATTCCACACATCACCACATTCATACATAATAACATACACCAATTTAATTATTCTAATTAAACGAAATACACGGAAATCACATTCCAACACCACACATACACTCTTAACTGTTCAACACCAATCTTATATTTAATCATGACCAACAAGGGTCCTACAACACAAGAGAACAGAACAAAACAACACAAAAACACAACTTGCTGTCATGCTCGCTGGCTCATTCGCCTGGCGAAGCATCAACGAATGTTCGCTACTCGCTCACCCAGCGAACTCCCTAGCGAAGGCAAACAGTGGCTACTGGAAGTGTTTGCTACCACTCGCTACCTTATTCGCCTGGCGAAACCTCTCGCCACCTCCTTCGCCTGGCGAAACCTCTCGCCACCTCCTTCGCCTGGCGAACACACCAGCGAAGACTGAGTTTGGCCACTGCAATGGTTCGCTACCCACTCGATGGGCTTCGCCTGACGAACCTTCGCTTCCTGTTCTCCTAGCGAACGCTAGCGGACCTGCAAACTCAGAACCCCGAACTGTTCAGAATCGGCAAAACTCTCCAAAATCGCCCGATTTCACTCAAGCCAGTTCCCACAACACTAGTTCAACATTCTGCAACTTAGCTACATAGTCTATTCTAGATTCTATCCGATAAAACATCAGCTGTACCGATTAACTCATTATCGACTTAAAATGGTAAACTACTTGAAAACCCCAAATCATTCGAACAATCATTCTACAACCACATGCAACAAACCTACCCTACCAGCAACAATTAAAATCACAACAACGCATCAAACATGTTCATCAATTCCTACGGGATTGGGGAAAATCCCTTCTACCCAACATTCATGCAAACATACCAATTTCGACCCGTTTCTCCCCCCTACCTCGATAACTCGATCAAGCTGTTGAAAATCCTCGAAGAATCGACAATCTTGGTTCCCTGATTCTTCTCCTCACTCTCTCTTCCACTCTAGACCGTGTTCTTCCTCTTCTCCTCTTTGATCGTGTTTTCTCTTCTTTCCAATATTTTATTTCCCCAAACAGCCCCTAATACCCCCAAAAATCCAAATTCCTCTTATTTACTTAATAATAATAATAATAATAATTTTAATAATAATAATAATTAATAATAATAATATTAATAATAATATTACCATTATTTATTAAATTATTATCACTAATAATTATATTATTAATATCAAAGTCCAAAGTTTAGTAACTAATCTCCATACTTAAGGGCACCCTCCACGCACTCAAACACACTTCCACAAAAGCATACCGAAAATGAAATAACACCGAAAAAGACTAGATAATTAAAATGGGTGTTACACATAACATGTATAATACTAATATCTCTCAACTAACCATACCAGAACGAATCAGGTCACGACTTCCTAAAAATAAGGTGGTCAGCAGTCTCCTCCAATCAAGGGGCAGTGGGGAGTTACCACTTCTTAGAGTTTCGTAATCCTTATGTCCATTAACCTTTATAAATATCTGACCCTTTGAGGGTAACATACAGATCATAACTCAACTAGCATTAAGCATATTGCAGAGTCTCTCACCTCACGCGAACTTATCTCTCATATCACCGTAAACTCCATAACATCACCATACGGAATTTCTCGCTGTAACGGATAAGCCCTAATTATTATAAACCTACTAAGGGCTAAGTATCTCATATCTTTGTAGAGATACCACACACACTGTGTTTTTTAGATTATCCTTAATAAACTATTTGTATACATTTTTTTCTTGATATCTTTTTTGGTTCTGTATCTTAACCTCAAGGTTCATTTTTGGTTTTTTAACTTTTAAAAGGTCCATATTGTTCCTTAACTCTTCAAAACGTTCAAAATTAGTCTTTTTTATTTAATTAGCGACAAATTTAGCAACTGATTTTTGAATTTTTTCGTCGCTAATAATGACTAATATAAAACGTTTTAAAGAATTAAAAGACCAATATAAACTTTTTTAAAATTAAAAGACCAAAATAAATCTCGAAGTTAAGATATATATATAAAAAAAAAAAGAATTTTACCATTTTTTATTTTTTGAAACTTTAAATATTATTTTATTCAATTTAAATTTTTAAAATGTAGTATCTTTAATTTATGCCCTAATGACGCAAGCTAGCCAGACTCATTACATTTATATAGTCATAAAAATGATAAATGATATTAAATATTACATACATAGATTATATAAAGGTTAAAATAGATGCATAGTCTTTTAAATTTAATGTTAAAGTTGTCGGATATTCTATACTTCAAAAGATTAAGAAATAGAAACTAATTTACATTTAAAATCAATATTTCAATGCCAGATCAAAGTGTGCAATTGAACCATAAGAAACCCCGTTGATTCAGATATCTAATTAATGTGGTTAAATACATTTATGTTATAATTAAATTATCAGTTTAATAACCGTAAATATAATTAATAACTATGCTTGATACCTGTCTCTGATACAATATCTTTGAACTTATAGATCAATATTTTATGGGGATGCAATTAAGTTATGATTTGGTTAGTGTTATTTCATTTACAATTTTTTTTTCTATTAAAAAAATATCAAACCAGAGAGTCAACACAAGTAAACAAATATTCAAAACGTGAATTGCTATAAACTAGTATAAAGCTGACAAACCAAACATAAAAATAGGAAACAAACAACAGTGAGTGTGATAAACCATAGCGGATAAGAGAATCAATGGAGAACAACAGAGACACTGAAATAGGAAAACTTAAGGAAGATGAAGATGAAGAGTCACCAATTGAGGAAGTAAGGTTAACAGTCACAAACACCGACGATCCAACTCTTCCAGTATGGACATTCCGTATGTGGTTTTTGGGTCTTGTCTCATGCTCCCTCCTCTCCTTCCTCAACCAATTCTTCGCCTACAGATCACAGCCACTCATCATAACACAGATCACAGTTCAAGTCGCCACTCTCCCACTCGGCAACCTCATGGCCGCCGTGTTACCTTCAACCACGTTCACCATTCCTGGTTTCGGGTCGAAGCGGTTCTCGCTTAACCCTGGCCCGTTTAACATGAAGGAACATGTTCTTATTACTATATTCGCGAATGCAGGTTCTGCTTTCGGGTCTGGATCACCTTATGCCGTTGGAATTGTTAATATTATTAAAGCTTTCTATGGAAGGAGTATATCTTTTCTGGCTGCATGGCTTCTTATTATCACCACTCAGGTTTTGGGTTATGGTTGGGCTGGCTTGCTTAAGAAGTACGTCGTTGAACCTGCTCATATGTGGTGGCCTAGTACCCTCGTCCAAGTCTCTATATTCCGGTAATAAACACTTCCTCCGATCTCGTCTCAGATATAAGCAAAAGTTGGTCAAAAAAAAAAATCAAAATTTGCTTATATTTGAGACCAGACCTTCTTAAGTTTTCAGATACCTAGATTACTAATGTTCTTTTTTATGTATGCAGAACTTTGCATGAGAAAGATGAAGACCCTCACAAATTTTCGAGGGCGAAGTTTTTCTTCATAGCACTAGTATGCAGTTTCCTATGGTATATAGTCCCTGGGTATTTATTCACAACGCTTACAAGCATATCATGGGTCTGTTGGGTATTTTCCAAGTCAGTAACAGCTCAACAACTAGGTTCAGGCATGAACGGTTTAGGATTTGGTGCTCTTACACTTGATTGGGCCGCGGTTGCTTCCTTCTTGTTCAGTCCTCTTATTTCACCTTTCTTTGCCATTGTCAATGTTTTCTTTGGCTATGCATTGATTGTTTATGCTGTGATTCCTATAGCATATTGGGGATTCAATGTTTATGATGCAAATAAGTTTTCCATTTTCTCATCTGATTTGTTCACAGCAGATGGTCAACTATACAACATATCTGCTATTGTTAATGACAAATTTCAGATTGATCTCGCTAAGTATCAAGAACAAGGTCGAATTCATTTAAGTGTGTTTTTCTCTCTTACTTACGGATTTGGATTTGCCACTATAGCATCCACCATTACACATGTTGTTTGCTTTCATGGAAGGTACAATAGTCTAGACTCATTACTCAAAGTCAAACTATTTGATTAGTGTTTAACAGTTTATGATATCGTGTTGTCAGGGAGATTATGGAGCGGTATCGGGCTTCAAAAAACGGCAAAGAAGATATTCACACAAGATTGATGAAAAATTACAAAGACATTCCTTCTTGGTGGTTTTACTTGTTGTTAGGAGTGACACTTGTTGTTTCTTTACTGATCTGCATTTTTCTAAATCATGAGATTCAGATGCCTTGGTGGGGACTTCTCTTTGCTTCAGCATTGGCTTTTATGTTTACCCTCCCAATTAGCATCATAACTGCTACCACAAACCAGGTTAATTAATATCTTGAAACTTTTCCTTAAGAAGGAACAGAATTTGATTTTAAACTAAATATCTTAATGCTCTGAATGCAGACGCCCGGGTTGAATATCATCACTGAGTATATATTCGGTATCATTTACCCTGGAAGACCAATTGCAAATGTATGCTTCAAAACCTATGGTTACATAAGCATGGCACAGGCTGTTTCATTTCTTAGCGATTTCAAGCTTGGACACTACATGAAAATCCCTCCAAGGTCAATGTTCTTAGTGCAGGTATAATTGTGTTTGAAAGATTTTACTAGCATTCACCTTTCTTATATGGTATCTAATGCACTTGTGTTAAAAATTATTTAGTTCATTGGGACAATGCTTGCTGGGACTATCAACATTTGTGTAGCATGGTGGTTGCTAGAATCTGTCAAAAACATATGTCATGAAGATCTTCTTCCCGAAGGTAGTCCGTGGACATGTCCGAGTGACCGCGTTTTCTTCGATGCATCAGTTATTTGGGGTCTAGTTGGACCTAAGAGGATATTTGGTACTCTTGGAGAGTACTCAGCATTGAACTGGTTTTTCCTTGGAGGTGCCATAGGACCAATACTAGTTTGGCTATTGCACAAGGTGTTTCCACAACAGTCATGGATTCCGTTGATTAATCTTCCAGTACTCTTGGGAGCAACCGGAATGATGCCGCCAGCAACAGCGTTGAACTACAATGCATGGATTGTAGTTGGAACCATTTTCAACTTCTTTATCTTCCGTTACAGAAAGAAATGGTGGCAGAGATACAACTATGTTTTATCTGCAGCACTTGATGCAGGGGTGGCTTTTATGGCTGTGCTGCTTTACTTTGCATTAGGACTGGAAAATGTGAGTCTGAATTGGTGGGGAACTGCTGGTGAGCATTGTCCTTTGGCAACTTGTCCAACTGCCAAGGGCATACAGGTTGATGGTTGCCCTGTCTTCTGATAACATTGCCACTTTTTATTGTTTATTTTTTTTAAATTGCAAGACTTCATGTTTTAATATTTGAAATTCTTTCTGTAATTATGGAGACACTGTTTTATCAGGAAACAGTTTCACCATGTTCTGTGTTTATTTGGTTTATAATTTATACATTAGTTGTTAATTTTCTCATTCATCAGATACTGGGAATTTGCATCAGCGAAAACATCAAATAAACCACCCACCAATCCAGGGGTGAAATTCAATTTTGCGCTCTTGGTTTTGGAGCTGGACAAAACATCCGCCTTTGAAACTAAAAATAAGTATATATGCATTAAGGATGCAAGTATAAGAAGTGAAGATAACAAGAATAAAAGTCACATAAATTAATAATTGAATACAACTTAAATATGTTTATTTTCAGGTTAGCAGTGAAAATGGAAAAAGAATATGTAAAGAAAGAAAAACACTGGTCGAAGAAAAACCAACTAAAAGTTGTGAAGTTGGCAAAAACTAACTGTAGAAAAACAATTGTAGCAGGAGTATTAGAGCCTTGAAACTCATTGAACAATAGACACTGGGAATGTTATTTCCTTTTTATCTTTTCTTCAACATTGTTGTCCTTCAAATCAACCTCCTAAACAGTAGCTTGTTTACTCCCAAGATGAATGCTTTGTTCCTCAGCTCACATCACAGGCATCATCAATTATCATGACAGGCAACAGATAAGTTACAAAAACACTACTGTCATCCTCCATATCAGACAGGGAATGCAAAGTGTTCTACAATCATCACATCCTCCGCGTCTCTGTCTCAATAGATCCCTTTTGCCACAGAATTCGATATGTTATATCACGTGTCACAAGGCATCACATTGTCACTAATGATTTCAATAAGGATCATATTGTCACTGAAGATTTCAATAAAGACCACTAGTGAATTTATCAAATAAGCATTTGCATGACAGCAAGCCAAGACTATATTCAAACCCATCATAACGAATTTGCTGAAATCCATTGGTTGTACTCATCCATCCTTATTATGAAGGAGCTTGAACTTGCAGAACCTCCTCCGCCATATGCCTTCATGATGACAGTGCAGAATACTCGTTAATATTTTATCAGTGTTAAAATATGAAATTGATAAGACAAAAAAATGTAGAAGCAAGAAGCCACACCTTAGCAACTTCAGAAGTATCAGTAGCACTGTCAGAGCTGCGTAAGCACATTTTGAGATTATTCCGTTGCATGAATATCACAGCTCCTATGGGCCTGTCATTGACAAAAATGCTCAGTGGATCAGATTCTAGAATTTGACAATTCTGTGACGAAATTAAAAATCCATAATAAGAATTGGCAGGCAATCATGTCTATAAGAAGTTGTTAGGAAAAAACTTAGATTCTTCGCTTCACCACTCATAAGAACATGAATCAAATGAGGATACTCGGACATAATTGTGTACACTACCCTCCAACAGTTACAATCAAAGGAAGAATGAACAAATTTTGGAATCAACAACCAATAATCAGGATCCAAATGCTTTTTTTTATCAATACTCCTGCTGAATTTCAATCCCAAACGTTGACAAGCCATTAGAACTAAACAGTTGCATGCTTTTTGTTCTTCTGAAGAATTGATCGAGCCATAGTCAAATTTTAATTGAACTTTTATTAATGTAAGATAACCTATGAAAAAATTACTCTTCTAGTAAAATAATTAGAAGCATAAATTCAGTAAATCTTCGAAATAAATTACCTCACCTCAAACCAATAGCAGCACTTTTTACACTAAGAAGCAAGCCAATTTCATCACTTAAGTTAGAGTTCCCATCTGCCCGAACTCCCTACACAGTAACCAAGGCAACAATACGTGATTACAGGTTTCAACCACAAAATAGAGTGGGTCGGGAGGGACCGCATTACCAATGCATGATGCTGTTATAATCAATCAAAATGGCAATTATTAGTTCTTCATGAAGGACTAAAAAAACCAGCATTACTATTACAGCAAGTTAAGAACTAATAAAAACTAAGATGATTAAATCCTGAAACATTACCAGGCACTCTCCATAAAACCCTCTACCCAGCCGAACCCTGAAAACCTTTTCCAGCAATTTACTTGCAGCATTCCGGCGAGCTGAAATAGATGAATTTCCTTTAGCAATTAACTCTTCAACACTCAATTCCATCAACTGCAATACATATTTTTTCAAGCATAGAAAATATTTAGCAAATAGTACATAATAACAAGAGATAAATTGACAACAATTTACAACAAGAGTAAAAAATAGGTATGTTTTTGGTTTATTTAATGTTAGCGAGGCACAAAAAAGCAAGTAAGCAACAAAATAGATGGATGCTACAGCCGGAAATGTTGCAGTAGTACTTTATGAAAGTCTAACAGAAAGGCTCTGAATATGTGTTAATCATGGACACTTCAAATAACTAATCAACTTATGAAATGTTTTTTATTCTCTTCCCAAGCAGATGATAGATCAACAACCAAAGGTTATATAACACATGGAATATCGGGATACATAGTTCTACGATGGCTCAAACACATATACTTTAAACTGAAGAGCTTCTTCAGTTTGGCTGGTTAAACTATTGACTCGGCTTAAGTAAATTACATCCTTTTGAGAAACAAGATAATTGTATGGATGAATTTCCATATAAACTAAAACACAAGCCCAAACTTACATTAAGCTACAACGATAAGAAGAAAACATAAAGGATAATTAATCATACCTGCTTAAACATGTTTGGGTTGGAAATACAGCTAAACCTAGACCGCCATTCACCTAGTCCAATGTTAAAGGGCTTAATATCAGGCAAAGTCCACCGGCGAAGATCCCCGTCCTCAATATACCTAAGAATATTCTCCACGCGGCCTTTATCTTTTGAGTCCACCAAACTTGAAACCGCGCCCTTAAACAGCATTCAATCTCAGCCAACATTGCATCACGAGACGCAACGCAAGAGGACTAAATGGAAAAAAGAATTAAAATTTCACTTACATTAGAAGTTTCAATATCCTTGCATTTGTTAGTAAAGTATTCATAAACAGCTCTGGAGCTACTCTTGTCAAGGTTGACATTAATGACAATATTCTGAGGATACTCATTTGCAGAAGGAATATGCGTAAGCACAGATTTCCTATGATCAAAACCAATAATCCTACAGAAATAAAAACAATTACATGAATAAGTAATCAAAATCACATGAGAAGTGAGAAAAGGCCATTAGCATTAAACCTACTTGCAATTTGATAGATGGGAAAGTTGGAAAAGGAACTCCTTTGGAGGAAGAAAGTCGAGAAGATAGCATGTTTGAAGGCCTTGAATGCATAAATCTTCAACAGTGAAAGCAAGGGAGGGAACGGAAGAGAAAGGGAGAGTAAGGGAAGGGAGATTGTGACGAGTGTGGAAGAGGTGAGCAAAGAGAGAGGAGAATGCTCCAGAAAAGGATGGGTAATTGTAGAGAACTATGGTGGGAACTTTATCTTCGGAAGCTTTAGCTATGGCTTCTAACGCTGCATCTGAGCGTAAGGTTCTGCGGGAGAATGAGAATGGGATGGTTCTTCTCCTCCCCCATTTTCCAACCAGCCACCATTTCATCTCAATGTTTTTTTTTCTTCTCACTGATTGTGTTGTTGAGCACTAACCCTTTTCTAATGAACAAAGACTTTACAAGGGAGTCTCTCCAATAATTAATTTGTGTTTTTTAATATAAAATTAATTTAATTGTAATTTTGATTCTTTTATTTTTATTTTTATAATTTAGATTCTTCAACCGGTTTTGTTCTTCTCAGTTTAATTTTATTTGCTTGCATTAATGAATTCTTCTCTGTAGATCTTCTTCCAAAGGCGCTAAAGGCTGTTTTTTTAGTATTGATTTTGAAAAACTCAAATTCTCAAGGGCTTAAAGAGTATAGGCCAATTTGTTTAATTGACAGTGTTTATAAAATAATTTCGAAGCTTATGGCAGGGAGGTTGGTTAGAGTCATTGATGGACTTATCGTTTTAAACCAATCGGCGTTCATAGCAAAGAGATCAATGATGGATGGAGTGCTTATCATAAATGAATTAACAGACTTCGCGGCTAGGCACAAGAAGAAACTCTTCGCTTTCAAGGTAGACTTCGAAAAAGCTTTTGATTCAGTATCATGGAAATATTTGTTTTATGTCCTTAGGAAGATGAATTTCGGTTCTACTTGGATTAAGTGGTTACGAGGCTGCATTTGTTCGGGTACCTTATCGATCTTGGTAAACGGCAGTCCAACGCAAGAATTTGAAATGGAAAGAGGACTTCGACAAGGCGATCCGCTTTCACCCCTATTGTTTATCATTGCAGCAGAAGGCTTAACGGGTTTGATGAAGAATTCTATTGCAGCCGCAAAATTTCATCCTTTCATTCTTTCTGAAGAGTTTCAGTTTAGTTTATCTCAATTTGCAGATGATACTGTAATCTTAGGGGATTCTAATAGAGAAAACATTCTGGCCGTTAAAGTGATGCTAATGGGGTTTGAACTGGTGTCTGGGCTGAAGGTGAATTTTACAAAAAGCAAGGTAATTGGTGTCAATTTGGATGATGGGTTTCTCGAGGCTGCGTCAAATTTCCTCTCTTGTTCTATGACCAGCTTGCCGTTTAACTTCTTGGGAATTCCCATAGGAGCGAACCCGAGAAGGAAAACCACATGGGAGCAGATGGTGACAAAGATTAGAAACAAGCTTTCTTTGTGGACAGGAAAACATTTCTCATTTAGCGGTAGATTAACTTTAATCAATTCAGTCTTAAATTCAATACCGGTTTTCCTCTTTTCTTTTTACCGTGCGCCTAAAGTAGTATTGAAAGAGATTATCAACATTCAAAGAGCTTTTTTATGAAAAGGGGAGGAACAAAAACGTAGGATCAATTGGGTCGCATGAGAGGATATTTGTAAATCAAAAGCTGACGGTGGGTTGGGAATCAATGTCTGCGAAGCTTTCAATATAACTCTTCTATCTAAATGGGCTTGGAAATTCT